CTTTACCTTTAGAACAACTTGGCGTCAGTTGGTTGAGGGTGGATGCTCCATTTGGAGATGGAAGGCAGAAGAAGAATGTGGCTGTTGAAGTATTTTAACAGGCTGTCTAAACTGCACAATCACTGACCAGCACTGGTTCTTTACAATTATCTCAGAGGCTGCGTGGTCTCGAGGCATGGCGTCTGCCTCGAGTGCTGAAGGTCCCAGGTTCAAGCCCCTAGCTGAAATTTTTTAAGTGGACCTAGTAATTTCCTCTGGTCTCTGGGTAGTAAGATCGGACGCCCGTGTGTATTGTTGCGCACGTAAAAATTATCTTGACTGTTGGAAATCGTAAAGAGTAGCCCAACAGCACTACCCAGGCAACATTTATAGTTAAAAGTCTACCTAAAGTATTTCAGGATCTTCTCTGGTGTAACGGAGTTCGTGTACTGTGCTGAGAATATTCATACTCAGTCTTGAGTTAGAAGTAGAACGGAGCACTTATATGTTACTACCCATGTGCAATGATGTTGATCTGTCCTCTAAGCCTGTGTAATTACAATTATCGCACTTGTAGACTGTTTGTGACTTCCAGATGACAAGGTTTAGTAATGTCCGTTTTGTAAACAACGAAAGGTTTTGACTTTTACTCTGCTGTGTGAGACTTTTTCTATGTTTTACTGACTTGAAGAAGCTGTTTAGGTCCTATACAATCGCTGGTACAGACAATCTCCTAATTAAAAAAAAGACATGTTGTGAGTGTCTGCTGTTTGCCGAGATGTCAGCTCAGGTCCTCCTTCCATCAGTGTTGAAAATGTGAGAATTTTAAATTACAACTCAAGAAAAAGATTTAAATTAATGTTAATAAGAAAGATCAACCTAATTTCTTCTTCCTCTTCTTCTTCTTCTTCTTCTTCTTCTTCTTCTTCTTCTTCTTCTTCTTCTTCTTCTTCTTCTTCTTCTTTTTCTTCTTCTTCTTCTTCTTCTTCTTCTTCTTCTTCTTCTTCTTCTTCTTCTTCTTCTTCTTCTTCTTCTTCTTCTTCTTCTTCTTCTTCTTCTTCTTCTTCTTCTTCTTCTTCTTCTTCTTCTTCTTCATCTTCTTCTTCTTCTTTTTCTTCTTCGTCTTCTTCTTCTTCTTCTTCTTCTTCTTCTTCTTCTTCTTCTTCTTCTTCTTCTTCTTCTTTTTAAATATCATATTACTCGGGACATTTCTATAACTGTCCTCCATCTTCAGGAGCGAGCACTTAGTTCCGTTAATTACAGAATCAGTTGTAGTCGGAATAAAAATTCGCTTTACCTTTCCTTTCAGAAGCTTCATATACATACTTATCCCAGGATTCTTCTTTTTGTACCGAGATTTTGCAATTTGTCGAAATGGTCTTGTTTCACTTTGAAAACTTAACAGAAAAGCGGTTTCCGAGGTGTGTATGAATTGGCTGTTAACAATGTCACATACCACTTGATTGTATACTTGAGTGTGAACCGCTTAACGAAATAACAAGTCTTGATGTAGTAATTAGCAGTAACAGTCCAATTTTTTGGAGTAATCCTACTTGTGAAAAGCAAAGGTAAATGAAAATGCTGAAAGAAGGAATAATGCAATAATCAGAAATGCCAAAAACATATTTCTGTGGAGTTAGACAATGAATACTAAACTATGAGGGCAAATCAGAGACTTTAGAAATGTAGTTATACGAGTTGGAAAAATATGGCAAGATTGATGGACTCATGGGAAGAAATTGCCATGGAACATGTTGCATATAGGAGACACATAAGGAAAGGAATGAGAATGACAGAAGAAATGACTGCAGAAAGGGTGAGACTTGTGCGTCTGGAAAGAAACACACTAAAGGCAAATGGCGGCAGCAACGGCTTTGAAATTGTATGCTTTAATTGTAGAAGACATTTCTTAACACAGTCGGGACTTGCTGATCACACTGGCCATCACCTTAGGATGTGAGCCCCATGCCTCCTCATAGTACCTTATATCACTATCCTTTGGACAGATGGAAAAGTGCCAACTAACTACCTTTGCTACTACTTTTGGACTAATACATAAAAACTGTCCCATCCACTCCTTCTTCCTCTTCTTTATCTTTGTCAGGCTTTCATAACTTTTAAGAATCAGAAAAAAATATGCTTTATTTTTTATTATTATTTATTTGTTCGCCTTTAAAAAAAAAACCCTGGTTTCTCTGGCCTCAAAGGGAACCATTTTCCACAAAAGTTTTGAAAGCAGTTAATCTCTTTAATCAAAAACATATTAAACAGATAATAAAATATGGATTAAATAGTTGATGTGAACTATTGTTTTCAGTGGGCGCAGGATCTGCCGGCTCGATAGTTGCCAGTCGCCTCTCTGAGGATGGCGAGTCCAGCGTCTTGTTGTTAGAGGCCGGCCCCAGTGACTGGGAGAACGCCAACATCTACACCCCAGGATTGGCAGCAGCTAACCTCAGAAGTGATATAGACTGGGAATACTACACTGAGCCTCAAGAAAATGGCGTCATGTCTGGACTCAAAGATGAGGTTGAGTTCATTAGATTTTTTTTCACTCATTAAGTTCCGAACATATTCAAATGGTTTAGGTTTGCAACATGTTCTCATTGAAAAGTTTCTAATATGTTCTCGGTGTCAAGTTCCAGAAACTTTCAGAAAAGGGGAGGAAAAGCACAAAATTTACGCAGAAAACATAGAGGGTGGTCAGAAAATCTCATTTCCATGGTTACAACTTTTCTTTTCTGGTTTGATATGAGTAACCATGTCTGGCATTTCGAGTGGGAATTAGTCCCCTTACAAAATTGATATGCCAGGGGGCGGTATCGGCCATGATCAAATTTGAGGGGCACTGCTACACTCCAGAAGGCGAACGCAGCCTCTTTTGCATTGAACGTTACAAAAAGACAATTGTAACGAGAAAGAGATATAGAGAGAATGAGAGATAGAAAATGAGAGAGACATGGATAGAAACTTTTTGATAACTGTACACACTAACTGCAACATGGGGACATTTGAATATCGGCACGCAAACTTGCGACAACCTCATAAAAGAGAAAGCAATCCTCCTTCGAACTGAGCAGACTTTCAGTACTTCAGTTTCAGTCAATAAAAAAGCTGTCACATTCACATACGTAAATTCTGTCTTCCACGCAATCGCACGATCTAAACAGAACAATATCGACTCAAAAATAGAGAACAGAACGAGTCCAGCAGTAATTTCACCCTACCATTAATCCCAGAACTAGAAACACAGAGCCTGCCAGAGCTACTGCCTACTCTTTTAGCCGTGGTACATGATGATGATGATATTCCGAGGAAAGGGGTGTGCTGGGTCTTTTGTTTTTAAATATTTTTTTTTTTTCAACTTAAAAGGGGGTAGTGGACCAAGACATTTTGGAAAAAACTGGTTTAGATTTGTAACATTCTGGCGGTCGTCTTTACTTTCTAAGACAGTTCTTGGTACCAATTTTTGGACTAGCAGACATTAAAGTCAATTATAAAAACACAGTCAACCTTGTTTAGAGCGCAAGACTTGCGACCAGTGAAGGAGGCAAACAGGCATACTTTAAGCCACGAAGCACCTGCGTCTAGTTTGTGTTGTTAACTGTCTCTAATGTTGTGTGTGTATTCTACAGCGCTCGTACTGGCCCAGAGGCAAGGTTTTGGGTGGATCTAGCAGCATCAATGGCATGAACTACGTGAGAGGGTCCAGGCATGACTACGATAGATGGGCTGAGTACACCAATGACAGTGGATGGGATTACAGGCATGTCTTGCCCTACTTCAAAAGGTCAGAAGATATTAGGATTCCAGAGCTCATGGACTCAGGTACATTGCATGGCATCCTTACCTTATGGCTTGTGTAGAAGCTAGAGTGTTCATATGAATATCTTTATCGACGAATAAAACAACAAGAATCCTACCCCACACACACACAACAAAATTGTTCCGGAGAAGGAGTTTTCTTGTTTTGTTCTTCAATGAAGACTTTGATGGTCACGTTCGGTTGCATATGTATGCGTCTTTCTTTTCTCTTGCTTTTTGTTTTGTTTTGACATTGAAGGTACATAATTGCGTAACAAAAAGGGAGCAAATAAAAAGAAAATGTTTTATGAGGTTTTTTTTCCCCCTTTTACATTTTCTAATGGATTGGAAAGTGGTGGGGGTGGGGGGGGGGGGGTTTATATAGGAGTCTGGTTTTGTTTAAATACAAAGTAATAAAGCTTGTTTTGTATATCCGCAGTTTAGTTTTATTGCTGTAGAGTTTTGATCTCCAGACACTCTGAAGTCTGTTATAAGCAGCATTTGCCTTTGCAACCACAACATTTCCATCCGAGGAGATATTGCTTCCTAAGTAAGTGAAGTCACTTACTGTTTTCAGACCTACATCTATTACTATAGGTCTTTTACTTTTAGGGTTTATCTCAAGTAGTTTTGTTTTAACGACACTGACTTTTAACCCTGCCTATTTTGCTATTTCTGTGATCTTTTCTGGGTAGTTTTTTTTTTTTTTTTTGGGGGGGCAGATGTTTTTTGCTGTGGATGATGACAGAGATATCATCTGCAAAGTCTAAAGCTTCCAGGTGTACGAAAAGGTTCCACTGAAGACCTGTTCGTGTGCCTGTGGTTGCTTTCTTCGTAACATAATCTATCACTATGAGAAACAAGAAAAGTGACAGTTTGCACCCTTGTTGGACTCCTGATGTTGCACTGAAGTAGTCTTTTTCTATGAGTCCTACTTTCACTTTGCATTGGTATCCTTCATAGAGTCCTTTAAATGTGTTCAGAACTGTCACTAATAACCCAAACGCAGCAGGGATCCTCCAATATCATTGTTATGTCTGTCTTTTCAAATTCTATAAACTTAATAAATAATGTGGCATTCCATTATAAAAAAACACATTTCTAAGAGTGAAAATATGATCAGAGCAGTTTCTTCCTTTTCTGCATCCTGCCTGATCTTCCGACAAAACCCTGTCTATTGACATCTTCATTCTGTTGTATACCACCCTTTAGAGTTTCTTTCCGGGTTACAGACAATAATGGTATGCCTCTACAGCTGTTGCAGTGTGAGAGATCAAGCTTCTTCGGTAGTGAGATGATTATACCATTTTTCCGTTCTGTCGGACCACTTCATTTATCCATATTTGTTGAATATTCCGTGTAATTCTTATGCTGTAAATTGTGGATCTGCCTTTAACATATCAGCACTATTTCAGTTTTTGTCATTGATATTTCTTTAACGCTGATTGCCTAATGTCCATTTCTAGGAGTTCGCCACAGTTTTCTACTGTTTCCACTGGGAAACGCTAAAATATTCCTGTCATCTGTCAACCTCACCTCTTTCCCTTGTGATTATTTCCCCAGTTGTTTCCTTCATTAAAGCTAAAATGTTTCCGACTAAGATCCTTTGATATTTTATACAATGTTCTAGTATCAACTGTCATTGCTGTTTCTTCCACTTTGGAATCTTTGAGTTCCAGTATTCCTTTTTGTCTTTCTTTAAGCCATTCTTTACTTCTTAGGTTTTGTAGTATATGCTTTCTGTGCGGGATCTTTTCCGATGTGCACTTTGCAAGGTTTATTTGCTCTTTTTGAATTTTTTTCTTCTTCTATCTTTGACCACGATTCTTTAGAAACTCATTCCTCTCTCGCATGATTCTTCAACCGAGTATATAGTGCCCATTCTTCATCTACATTTGCTGTCTCTGGTAGGTAGCTAAATACCTTGAACAGGTTTCTTAGTTCATCGCAAAAATCTTCTCTGACTTCTAATGTCCTGAGCTGAGCTGAATCTAATAATAGACTTAGTATTTTTTTTTTGCTTCTTCTTAATGTAAGCTTCAAACTAAAAATCACTTTGATGCGGTCGTTCCCACGTCAGGTTCACTTTCAGGAAATACATCTTGTTCAACTGTTCAGGGCAGCTGTGTTATTTGTTTGGTACATACCAGTGGCACTGGCAGTAATTACAGTGTGTACAATTTGATGCTTCTATTTTCATTAATAGCTGCGAAAAATGATGTGGTGCATTATTTTCCTAACTCTCCTCGTTCATAAAAATGTAAACTTTATTTATATACTGCATTCATCTTTTGTAACACAAATGCACACACAAAGAAAAGCCACTTAAATGAAATTTCCAGGCAGAAAAACAAAAACAGTGTATATTCTCTGCCTGGTCCGGACATCAAGTTACGTCCTAAATTGTACATGTAGGATTTTATCCATGAGGTGTTGTTAATTCTACAGACTTCAGTCCTCAAAAGGACAAGCTATTGATCCTACTGTACTCAGATCATCCCCGTTTCTCTGCTTCCTTTTGCAGAATATCACGGCCATGGAGGTCCCTTGACAATTCATCCAACTGAGACTGGAGGCATAGTGCCAAAGATCATTGAAGCTGCTCAGACTGTTGGTTACCAGCACAATATTGACTACAATGGCAAAACTATGGAAGGTGTGTGGGTACTTTTCTTAATGTCGTTGTCTTGTGTTAGAACCTTGTTGATTCGAACTGCTGTCTTGTATTCTGCTGAAAGTGCTGTGAGCTGGCGATGACTTAGTGCTATCCTGGCTCATAAGTTGTGTGCAGACTCCTGGGCTCACTGCACTGTATGTGGTGTGATGTTGGAGTTTTGCACTGTTACCTAGTACATAATGTATCATGCATGTCCATTCCATAGACAGATTTGTGTCTTTTGTCCAAGTTATTGCCCTTGGATAGCTAGTGAATCCTTTGTCAGTGGAAACTCCCAAAACTTTAACACATTAGCTAATGTGGCTTATTAAACAGACATACGGACACGGACACAAATGCACATAAACACACACACACACACACACACGTACACATATACAAACATACATACATATGCGAAAGGGGAAGAAATAGACCGACAGTTATGTAGATAGAGAGGCAGACGTACAGACATATAGACAGACAGACATATAGAGACAGATATATAGACATACAAACAGATAGACATACAAACATGTAGACAGAAATATAGACAGGCAGACAAATAGACAAATAGACAGGCAGACAGATACTGTACTTGTTGATAGTAAGTATATGAAAGAAACGATAAAAATATTTTACTACTTCAGGCGGCAGGGAATATTATAAAATTATTATTTCTAAAGCAAGTGATGTTTCCTGGGTGGTATTTTCAATCTGTGCATGAATTACCCATTCAGGAAATAAAATTAAAAAAGCAAGCACCGTATGCATAGAGTGGCTTGCATCGCTTGATAAGATTCACATCAAGAGCCTATCGTAGGGATTTTTTTTACCTGAGATATTCTAATGTGTGAGGTACTAGCAGGCTGGCAGATAAGCTGCAGTAGCTTATGTTTTTTGGGGTGGAGGGGGGGGGGTGTTGGGGGACGCTATTTTATGATAAAGAAGACGCAATGAAAAGCATGTGGAATCAAGCGGATATTACACCAGAACAGGCATAGTAAACATACCTTGAAAGACTAAATCGGCGTAGGCATGCCTTAGTTCTGGACAATATTCAACGCTGAGGGAAAAACATAGACAGACTTTTCAATCAGGCCACAGCTGTCACTATTAGCATGGGCACTTTTGTGTTGGTTACCAAGCTTGCAAACAAAGCACTTGTGGGTGCAGAGATTCATCCATTTGTTCATTCTCTGATGTCTCCCTTTTACAAAACACTGCATCTCTATGCATTTGTCATAATATGTTAAAAATTTACATTGGTAGTGTAATTCTACATTCTACGAGTATTACTGGAGTTATTTCAGCTCTGGGCCCGCTCCTCACCTATCGCACTAGTATAGACCGCGGGTGGTGTGTTTGTTTGTCATGCCAGTCGGCGGCAGAATTCGTCATGTAATATGACGACCAAGTCTCATAATTTAAAAAAAATTATTATTTGCTAATTTTAATGATTTGTTTTAACCAGTTGTAAGGAAACCTAAGGGGTTAAGCATAAAAGTGCTCATCCTTCCTTTCTATGACATACCTTTGGGTGTGTTGAGTTAATAAACCATCATAGGTCAACTCCAGCATTGTTCATGAAACTACTGTTAGATTAATTTTGAAACAGAGTAGCACCAGGTATGAACATAAGCGCCAGCACATAGAAGCCATTGAACTGGGAGAGAGGAGCAATGTTCTTAAGTCTTCAGATTCTAATGGAGCCACTGGGAAAAAAATAACATGTACACAAAGATGTTGCAAAGTGTGATGATCAGTCACTGTACCAAGTTTTAACCCGCTTGACCTGGTCTCTCTTTCTGGGGCAGGTAACCGCCTACCCAGACCGTTGCACAATGCACGCTTAAAGACAATCTCCTGGGATCCCTGGAAAAGCCATTTTCAACTGAAAAGAAGAAGAAAAATCTACGATCTGTAAATGCTAGGTAAACAATTTGGTCACTTTTGCACGTAGACCATAAGACATCGGCCCATTTATAAAAACGTAAACAAATTTACAAATGAGGACAGGTGAGGATTATGACATTCCTCTACGTCACTGAGTTTACAGGGCTAAATTAATGCGAGAATGTGAAACTACTTCGTCATCCTCGATTCTTCAATGAATATGAGAAGTTAAGCTCATTTTTCTTTACTAGTTACACTGCATGCTCAAACTTTTAGGACACACTCAAACAGTAAAGGCCCCTTGTCGATATAATTAACTTCCCAGATAGTTTGAAAATTACACAGAATAATCAAATAGACCTCAAGGGAATATTTTCAGCAGGTGGGGATTCTAAGATCCTCTCACATGTTGAGACTTTACTGACTTCTGTAGAAGGAAACCAGAGTAGAAATAGAGGTTCATATATTCAGTAAAGGTACTCCTGTACACACCTAAAGCATCAGATTTAGGTTAGGTTTAAATTAGTCTCCCAAAACAAAGTAAGTCTTATTTCATTCATAAGTTTGTTGGGTTGGTCTACTTTTCTGCAGGTTACGAGTGTGCCGTTCTGTTGAAGGCTTTCTGGGTTGTCTTGCACTTACATTTTTATACAAAGAAAGAGAATGCCTGTGACACAGATTGCAGCACTCACTTGGGGGTTGTGTTAGACCCAGTTTGTCCATGTTTGTGGAGTGTTAAAAGCGCTGGCGTGCTGAAATATACAACACGCAATATCAACGACATTGCGAAAAAACCGAAACATTGTGCCAAGGCCACGTAGCTCAAGGTCTACTAATCAGAAAAGAGCTAGTGTGTATGTGGGCGGTATCTGGGGAGACCAACGTTAGTTTTACCCAGTGGTGCCGTAACTTTGTTATTCTGCTCCACTTGCTTTGATGTTTTTTTTTTTTTAAGTTTGATGTGTTTATGTTTCAAGCATGTTGCTCTTTGTTCACTAATTTTGTGAAGACTGTTGTTACTCTATTATTCAACCAATCAGTGCTAAAGGGGACAGAGAATCACACAATATACATCGCATTGCCAAATACTTGGAATGAGAAATAAAAACTTCAAAGAAAATGATGAGAAAGAAAAAAAAAAAAAAGTTCTGGACTGACTTCCATAAAAGATAGAAAAGGTTCCTTAGGATAGAACAACACCATTGAATTGATCGCCAGCCCTATATGAAGTTAAAACCTCACAACAGGGTCTATATAGACAATGAAAGATCATTACTTGTCTATGTCAGCAGGCGGTTACGTGTCGCTGCTTTTGTCCATTTGCTTCAGGTATCTGTAACTCACAGGTCAACTCCTTGAATGGCCAGCGATGGAGTGTCAGTCGAGCCTTCCTGCATCCAAATCTCAACAGACAAAACCTTCATGTATCTGTGCGCTCACATGTGACAAAGGTAAGAACATTATACCAGAAAGAGAAAATATCAAGGTAGCTTCAAAAAGTTCCTGGAATTTGTGTATGGCTTTTATTTAAAGAGTAACACTGCAATCATTTACACATTTCCTTCGAAATAGTTGCCTTCAGCAGCTATATACATTGCCAACGTTCAACATTCCTGGAACGCATTCTTTAACACCTCTCTCTTGTAGCTGCTTTCTCACATTGACGATAACTTCCTCAGTGTCCTTGAATTTGCTGCCCTTTCCGTGCTGATTTTGGTCGAGGGAACCAGAAAACAATCAGTCCGTGCCAGGTTTGGAGAATATGTAGTTTGTTCCACGGTAATCACGTGCATTGGGGGTACTGCTTTACCGGTAGGGACTGATGTGGTGGCACATTGTCAAGAAGCTGAAATCAACTGTTTGTTCTTAATTTTTCTGGACGTTTTTTTTCTGAGTGTGTATCTTAGGAGAATGTGGATATCAACGTACATTTTCTTATTAACTGCTGGGCCTTCAGGAATGAAAGCACGCTAAAGCACATCATAGGAATCAAATTGAAAAATTTTAAAAACACGTCTAACAAAACTTTGCCTCTGCTCTTGTCCAAACGAGATTTCTTTGAACGGGCAGATTGTGCATATTTCCATTCCGTTTGACGTTTTGTCAGAAGAACGTACAAGAAATACCCTGTCTTGTACGTTCTAATTATGTTGTTGAAAAAGAATTGCTATATCTATCGCTCAGTCATAGTGATCTCATGCCAGTGTCATTTTTGTTTCTCTATGTTCAGGAGATAACTGACGTATGTAATTGTAAGAGATGCATCGCACACTTGCCGAGCATCTATGGGCTATGTTGATGACATGTCAGTCCTCCACACATACACACAAGGTTCTCAGACCGCAAACCATGGCTACCAACTCTCATTGGTGCGGCACATGTTGATGATTATTACTACTTAAGTAGAGGAAGGCCAACACAAACAGGAGCACAAAAGTTAGTCAGATACACCTAACTAGTTAACAACCACAACACAGGTTACATGTCATATCGATCGTAACCACCAACACTGTCTAGAGTACAGTAACACAATATATCACTCCAAGTTTGATCTTATAGGGTTGTCAGTGTGTTAAGGATGAACATATTGCGCATGCGAAGAATTCGGGATCAATGAATCAGGGTCTGTCTACCACCTTGTACTTTCATATCAAAGGAGTAACTTATATCCTGTGCCCATCTTTGTGTTGGTCGGCCCCTAACCCTCCTCCTTGGTGCCATGCCTTCTGCTATAATGTTTACCAATGCACCATGACGCTTAATATGACTAAAATATTTCAGCTTCCGAGACAAGATGCTGTTTATTAGCCAATCTTCCTTAATGTTCAGATCTTTTAGAATGTCAGAATTTCTTCTCTTCTTTGTCCGTGGTATTCTGAGAATTCTTGTATAGTATTTCAGCTCAAAAGCCCATATTTTCTTCCTTAAAGACTGGAAGATAATCTACGACTTACATCCGTATGCTGCTACAGCGAAAAAACTCTCAACACAACAACAAAACCTTTAGGTGTAAGAGATAAGAACCAACATGACAGCAGGACACTCCCATACACACACCTTTCCCATCGTCAACAGCTAACGCAAAGTTTTTTTTCCAATGGTACTGATATCAGTTGTAGTATTACTACGAGAGGTTTATTCTGCGAGCTCTCTCCACATTTTTAAAATGTCAATAGCAAATATTATTTGCATTTATATTTTTTTCCTTCTGTGCTTTCAAAATTTCTAAATGTTGATGTCTTTGTTGTGTGTGTGTTTTTTATTTTATTTTATTGCTCGGACTGCTTCCAGTAAGTACTGATATTTACACACATGAATTGGCATTGTTTCATTTCAATTCATTTTACCTGGTTTAAATGTGATAAACTATTCTATTAACTTTGTGCATTTGTCACACAGATCATTGTCAAGAACAACAGAGCAGAGGGAGTTGAGATTATCAAAGATGGAAAGAAATATATCATCAGGGCTACCAAGGAGACCATCCTGTCCGCAGGAGTTGTGGGTTCCCCTCAAATACTCATGTTGTCTGGTATCGGACCCAGGAAACATTTGGAGAGTTTAAATGTACGATTGCGTTATAGTCATTGTCTTCATTATTAAACGCACAATCTTTCGCTACCCATCATTAATAATCATGTAATGCATTATTCTCGTACTTTTACCACTCATACATACACACTCACTCATATGTATTTATGTGTGTGTGTGTGTGTGTATATATATATATATATATATATATATATATATATATATATATATATATATATATATATATATATACGTATATATATATATATATATATATATATATATATATATATATATATATATATATATATATATATATATATATACAGAAAGTTAAATTAGACAACACAGCACTTGGGACATTCCCATAAGTGCTACGTCCCCATCTTCAGCAACAAGCGCAGAGTTCCAGTTGTGATGATAGCAGTATAACAGCCAGTAACAGAGGCCCCAGTATAAATAATTACATCCCCGGGGTGGGAACTGTCATAAATCAGTTTCTGAACTTCTGAATCTGCAGCTCTCGCTAGCCAGTCCCAGCACTGTATTCAGTCTGTGACCCTTAGCTCTATCCATATGTTTAGAACATCAACGATGATAATTCTACTGCTCAAAGAGCAGCCGCTTTGAAGAACAATGGTGACATTGCAGAGGCCTGTCATAGTCCCGGCGCTAAGGTCTGTGTAACCAGACAAAGGGCAGCATTGTGAGACAATGAGAACAGCTACTATCTATTTCACCAGCCAGAGACAGACCCCAGTTTTGTGTGGGGAAAAAAATTCCTAAATATCATTTAAGATTCTACTTTAGGCATCCTCAAAAGCACATGCTGCCATTGCTATCTCCTGTCTATTCTAAAACCCTAAAAAAAATGATTCAAAAGTGGCAGCGTTTGACCAGATATCCTGTCCTGACCGGTAACTACCCAAACACCTTAACAGGAGCTCTTCCCTTTCAAACAATTATTGCAGCTTAACAGCAACAATTTTGTCCAGGACTTGCAAAAAGAAACAAAAAAATACACAACAAACAAAATAAATATTCATACGGTGATAATCCTGAAGCCGCGGATGAGTCTACATTGTCTCGAATGTTCTTTGCCTGGTTTTGGAAGTGGGATTAAATAGCTTCACCCAGTTTTGGGGTACAGATGCTGTCCTAAGCTCTGGTTAAAGTGAAAAGCCACCTCTCCTAAGTCTTCATCACACAGGCCCTTCCCGTAGACACACATAACCCCCATCCGGACCTAACGCAGTGTCTTTTGCTTTTTGCAATATTTTGTTTTTGTGTGTGTGTGTGTGTGTTTTTTTTTTTTATTATCCACCTAATAACATCAGGATAGTAATTTTCATTTACTGTATTCAGTAGAAAATCTTTGACTGACTGTCTATTCCTATCATTATGATATGTTTGTGCTATAAATTTCAGTGTTATAACATTGCTATAAAGATAACTAGGATAGTAATGAGTGTCATTTTGATAAACATTACTTATCATAAGGTGCCAGATCATGCCGCCAGGTCAGATAAAAATGAGATCTGAACCCTTGTGATATTACCAGTAAATCTGAGTACTGTATGTCTACATTTGAACAGATCCCTGTGGTGGCTGACCTTCCTGTAGGACACAATCTTCAAGATCACCTTATGTTTGATATTGGGATCAAGGTCTCACAGCCAATAACAGCTACATGGGCTAGCATTGGATCCGTGTGGACTACACTGCAGTATAAACTATTTGGTGCAGGTAAGAATAGAATGGCAGAAATAATCGTTTTATTAAAAATATATTCATGTTAATTGTCATTAGATTGCCATGATGTTTCATGATACACTGCAGTGTCATCACTTGTTATAAATGTATGTCACCTACACTGCAATATCTTCACTTGTTATAAATCTGCCACCTCTTATCTCCTTATGTCTGTTAAATACATCTGCCAAACAGTATATCTTACGTGTGCTTCCATTCCCCAGTCTCTGCACTCTCTTTTCAGAATGTGACCCTTAGTTCTATCTATGGGGTCCTAATGGAGCAATGATGCACAATACAAGACTATTAATGTCTGTTAGCCTCTCTTGCTCAAGCTTGCCTTACCTTCACGTGATGGACCCTGTTCTTCTCAGCAATCCAGTTGAAGGTTGGGGTCTTAACCCCCCCCCCCCCCCCCTCTCAAGCAGGAATTGGATGGGACAACAAACGAGGTAAAGGCAAAGAGATGAGCCTACTCTCACTCTCAAGAGATCCTGAAGTCGGAAATACTGGGCCAGAAGGCGGATCAAAAACCACAGTACTACGCAACCCCACGCTATACATATATATGTTTATACCGTCAGACTAATTTAATGTTGGTGCTTGCCCTGTGGAGCTCCACCAGGCAGGTACAGTGCCGGGTTCTGAGCCTTGACAGAATCCACCCCCAGCTACTGGAGGACCTCCTAGACCATCTTGTGGAGTCAGAAGTGGCGGAGGATAGTTAATAACCAAAACCAGTTAGACAGAAAAGATCCCAAATGAAAAGCATGTCAGTGTATGCTGCATCCAAGAGTTCCATTTGCAGGCAGATCAGATATTTAAAGTGAGAGGCTACCAGTGCTTCAGATCTCTAGTATTCCTTACGTCCTTTTTAGGAATCGAAATTTTTTGTTATTTGAAGCCCCACCCTGGCTTTTGCCAGGGGCCGTAATATAGGCAGGCCATAACTATGGTCAATTGTCTGAACGCGGTTTCCAGGACGTCTCCACGGTGATCCTCATCCACATGGTGGCACTTTGTGTCATCGGGTGTTTATCGCTTGTGTGATGTCCTGGTGGGGTAGAAAGTCAGTCAGTCAGTCTTCAGATCTGATAAAAGCAGACGAAAAGGAATTTTACATTGGCTGTATATCGTAGCAACAGCTCACATGGTATTAAGACAAATGATCAAAAACTAAATAAAATGATCAACAGTTGCCCAGACTATTTGTTTTGGCTGTCTTATGATACACTGTAAGAGGAATGGCTGGCTGGGTGATTACAAAGCTGGGCTCTTATGTTGTAAATTGGTTTGAATCATCATCAACGTACTATTGATTTTGTCTTTGACAGAACAATAATAAAAATAGTAACTTGGACAATACAAGGTGACTCCACTAGTCATGTGGCCCTGAATCATACCATATGAAATTCCTGTGTCCTACAACAACCAAAAAAGTGATAGATATAAAGCTTAAGGACATCTTATGTCAAACTGTGTTTAGTTGACCTGACAAAAATATGTTTTTATTTATTATATAGATTATTGTTGATAATTGTTTGTTCTTAGGATATCTTCGTTCTCCCTTTTTCCTGGAGACACTAGCCTTCAAAAGTACAACCAAGGAAACAAAAGAAAAAGACTGGCCGGATCTTCAGATACACTTTTTCAGTATCATAAACAGCGCTCCCCTAATGGAGGCTTTTAGCTATGCAGAAAATGTAAGTACAGATTTTGTGTTAACCATCTTATAACTTTTTTGATTAATTTAAGTTGAGTAGTTTAGGGGCTTTTGAGTGGATGCTAAATTATACGCATTTACATTCTACAAATAGATTATCAAAGGTCTGTGAATAACACATGAACTTCTTATGGTTAATGGGAGAAAAGGCAATATTCAACAAGCGAAACACTATATGAGAGATACTTTTGACATGAGAATAAACAGAGAAATTAGCATTTTGCTGTAACAAAGTGGTTACATGAACTATCTGCAGTAAAGTAAATGAAACAGGACAATGGTGGCAAAGTTGCCGCCCGACAGTAGCATGTCACGGTAAAGACAGGAACAGCTAGCTTGTCTCTGGTCGTCTCTTCGGATGCAGCACCTGAAGCTTAAATTATAGCATGGAATTGATAATGAGGCAAGGATGTTTTTGTTTATGTATTTCAACAAGTCAGGTCTGTTTGTTGATGTGGTGATGGTGGTTCGTAGTATTATAGCAAAGTCCTGACAATTAATATGGCGACGATGTTGGCTATATTTTTGCTTTTCGTTGCCCTATGCACGTGCGCCTGGCACGCAGAAGACACCCCCACCTCTGTCCCCCGTCGCTTTAAAATTATCAGACAATGAGAAAGGAGAAGAGAGACTCCAGAGGCCTAATACTAGTTAAAGAGCATACTATTAATAAAATGAGGATGATGATGATGGTGATAAAAATAATAATGTACTAAAAAGAAGAAAAAAACTGTGCTGAATGGTAAATAGTAAATATAACACATCTGACACAATATGAACTGTATAAACAAATACTTTCAAAGAGAATTTGCATGCATGGTAAAGAGTGCTGCTTAGTCTTCTTAAAACAAAATATTGGTGGTGAGGGCCTCAAATGGCCTGTCCATGTCAAGTTTCTGGCACTCGTGGTTGTAGGTGAGGGCCTCAAATGGCCTGTCCATGTCAAGTTTCTGGCACTCGTGGTTGTAGGTGAGGGCCTCAAATGGCCTGTCCATGGCAAGTTTCTGGCACTCGTGGCTGTAGCTGAGGGGCTAAAAATAGCCTGCCTATGGCAAGTTTCTGGCACTCGTGGCTGTAGGTGAGGGACTAAAAAAGCCTGCCTGTGGAAAGTTTCTGGCACTCGTGGCTATAAGTGAGGGGCTAAAATAGCTTGCCCATTGCAGTTTCTGGCACTCGTGGTTGTAGGTGAGGGGCTAAAATAGCCTGCCTCGAATGGCACTGTGGCCATGGCAAGCCTTTCTGGCACTCGTGGTTGTAGGTGAGGGCCTCGAATGGCCTGTCCATGGCAAGTTTCTGGCACTCGTGGTTGTAGGTGAGGGGCTAAAATAGCTTGCCCATTGCAGTTTCTGGCACTCATGGTTGTAGGTGAGGGGCTAAAATAACCTGCCTGTGGTAAGTTTCTGGCACTCGTGGCTATAGGTGAGGGGCTCAGTGGCAAGTTTCTGGCACTCTATTAATATGGACAGCTTGTTTTTTTTTTCTTTGCAGACAAAAGCGGAGCTACGACACAGGAATTCCATGCAGTATGGACTGGTGTGTCTGCCGACATTGTTGCGACCAGAAAGTAAAGGCAGTATCACCCTGAGGTCAAATGACCCGTTTGAATATCCTGTCATCAGAGCAAACTACCTGGACAAACAAGAGGATCTGGAGCTGTTGATTAGAGGTAGTATATTCCTCCTCCTCCTCCTTATCCTTCTTGTATTGCATATTTCTTCTTCTTCTTCTTTTTCTTCTTCTTTTTTTCTTCTTCTTCTTTCTTGTTCTTCTTCTTCTTCTTCTTCTTCTTCTTCTTCTTCTTCTTCTTCTTCTTCTTCTTCTTCTTCTTCTTCTTCTTCTTCTTCTTCTTCTTCTTCTTCTTCTTCTTCTTCTTCTTCTGATGCTGCTGCTGCTGTTGCTGCTGCTAATAGAGACCGTCACCGGGCTCATAAATCAGTCATCATACCTTTGTCATGCGTGCAGCAGCTCAGTTCATGTCTTGCCAATATCACCTCTGATTCATTGCTTAGTGTCTTTGCCTTCTCTTGTTATATGTCTGGCCCTGTGAATCCTCGTGCAGTGAAACTATTGTTATATTGGTATCAGGTTTACGCATGTGTCAATGTCTTCTTTTTTTCCATCTCCTTGGTTAACCGAGAATAGTTTTTATTCTTCTGCAAATCTCAGCAGTAGTAATTTGTTCAGAAAACTATTTTTTTTTAAATCATTTTTTGCTTTTACCTTCATAGTTTTATATTCTTTCTTGTTTAAAGTTACTTTATATGTTCTTATAAGTGAAACAAATGGTATTTAGTTTACTATTCATTAACAATAATCGCCACTTGTATACATAACATGCCTGCCTACTTATCCATCATTCATATGCTTGAAGCACCACCGACAGGCTTTGAGAGAGAGAGAGAGAGAGAGAGAGAGAGAGAGAGAGAGAGAGAGAGAGAGAGAGAGAGAGAGAGAGAGAGAGAGAGAGAGAAGATAAAGCAGTCTCCAGGTCCACCTCACCTCAAAATTGGTGCCAGGAAATATTCTGAGGGCTAAATATAGCCAGTGAGATATTTACAGCAACGCCCAATAGAACTGAGATTTATTCCTGAAATATGAGATCATTACGCATGAAAGCGTAGAAATCGGTGAAGTCTTTGACTTAACACTGCACTTATTTGTTGTGTTATTGTTATTGTTGCTATTTTTGGTGTTGTTAGTACAGACCCTCTTTGTAGTGAAAAAATGAGATAAGTTGAGTTTTCATTATTGAGCCACATGTGGCGGAAGTTTTAAAAAACAATTTGTGTGTGTTTGTGTGTGTGTGTGTGTGCGCGCGCTTGTGTACATGGTCATATGAAAGTTACTCGTTCACCTGTTCTGATTTGTTTAAAACCATTTTTCACATCTATGTACAATGCACTGGAAATAATTGGCACTATTTAGTGAAGATTATAGCACCAATGTCAGTGAACTTGTGCAGGCTTCAAAATGGATGTCAGTATTATTTTATGTTATCTCTACTTGTCATACAAAATTTAAGATAATTCAATTTAACTACTACAATGAGTTTTCTTTCAATCTTATAACAAAGAATGTATGAAAACATTATCACCATGTAACAAAATATTTTAAGAACGTCACAAATAATGTTACAACCTGTCGGAAAGATAATCCATTTAATTCTTCTTTTTTCTTTTTTTCCTCAACTTATTTCCTCCTAATTTGTTTCATTTCTAAATGTATCACTTCCTGATTATTCTTACAGCTCTTCTAAGTCATCTCATTTCTGTTATCGTGCTTTTGGGTTCATTAGTTTTAATAAGGGTTCAAGATTGACACTGGTATCATAAAGTTGGCTAGAACATAGTTTTTATTATATTTGTTTTGGTACACTTGTATATTTCAGAAGTGGTGTTAGTTGTTCTATTACCTGGTTTACTTTAGTATATTGTGCGTTGATTTCTCTATCCATACTTCCTTTTGATGTGAAAATTGACTCTATATATTTAAATTCACTAGTCTGTTTTATTTGTGAGCCATTTACATGTATTTACATTTTTGGGAATAAAAGGTACAACTTCAGATTACTTATATGAACGACATTTACCAGATTTTTTTTTCTAGGATTAAAACTCATAGATAATAACTTTAGTGTTCATGAAATAGGAAAGTACCAGAAATAATGAGAACAAACTCACATGGACCAAAACGATCTGGAGAGTAATCAGAAATCATCAATCTACAAGAGTATATACTAACTAAAAGATGGCAATTACAATAAATTATAAACATCCGAATAGGAAATATAAAACTACTTCACCTATACCCAAAGGAACCACACACGCCGAATGGTGTGGAAAATATCGTTAAGAGACAAAGACATGCTAAGTGTCTAAATAATAAAATCCCAAACAAGCGCATACATTTTGTGAATAAAAGGAGCAAGGCTGGAGACATAAATGGCACACAGCATTGCTGAACACGTTTATAATCATCATGAAGCTGGTCCTTCGCAGAACGTCACTCTCATCATGGTCTGTCTGAAAGAAACTCGATCTCTTTGAGCTCTCCCGCCTCGATCACTTTTCTACCCAAGGAGCCATTTATATCCCGTGCCCATCTTCGTGATGGTCGACCTCTTTCCCTCTTTCCTGGCACCATACCTTCGTATAATTTTCCCGAATCCGTCGTGGTGCATGATATTGTCAAAACATTTCAATTTTCGAGACAAGATACTGTTTACTAGCCCTCCTTGATGTTTGGATCTTTAAGGGTGTCAGTATTTTATTCTTCTTTGCTCATTATGAGAATCTTTCTATAGCTTTCAACTCAAAAACTTATATGTTCTTCTTTAATGACATTCACCAACACCGTTATGTTGTTACGGGGAAAATGCAACTTCTCACAGTTTTGATATTTATATAAAGAGAGCTGAAAGAGACTTTGCAACAACATAGTTTTGCTTTTATGGTCAAAGGCATGTCATCGGGGATTTAGAAGAAAAGAAGTAAATATTTTTAGTTTTTTTTAAAATGTATTTATTTTTGTCATGTTTTCTGTGGCTTTGAGGTTAGCTAATATTAAAGTGTGTGTGTGTGTGTAATGAATCACGCAGGAATCAATGAATGTAAAAAGATCGCTGATGCCAAACCTATGAAAGAGATTGGGGCTGAGCTCACTGAAAAGACTGTGGTCGACTCCTGCAAGCAGCACAGATATGATTCTCACGAATTCTGGACATGCATGATCAAACGACGTCCACTCACAGTTTACCACCCCGTCGGCACCTGCAAAATGGGACCTAAAGGTGACCCCACTGCTGTCGTAGACCCAGAACTAAGGTGAGCCAATATTCAGAAAAATTAGTGAAACCGATGATTTGGTTCATTGTTTTTATCATCTTCATCTTTCGCCATCAAACCTCGTGCGGAGAAATAAATCCAGGTCTAATTTCAATCCACGGTGCTTACAACAAATATTAAACCAATGCCTAGAGACATGATATATTTTACATTTTGGTATGGTAAGAAATATCTTAAATTGTTGGTCTTCCTGGTGTCATTTAGTAATTTTGCAGGCATGTTCATTCTTGATTATGTCACGAATGAATCAATCAAAAATGGACATCTCTGCACTCGTGACAGTCCACATCACCTCCGTCCTTCCCTTTAGTAAAAATGGAGAATTCTCACTCTACTGGTACTAGCTGCGTGCGACCTAATTAAAAGTTCATGTGTTTTCGCCTGCCGGAAGTAAACCTTCCAGAGCTTTTGCTCACTCCCAGCGAAATGATTGCTCCTAGAAATAACAATATCCCTATCATTTTGTCGTCGTTTTGAATACTTTTTTCAGTCCTATGCTGTATATTTTTTCAGTAGGGTGCAAGTAATTGAAATGCCACCCCTAATAGCCTCGCGCTGACAGATCAAAAGTTCAAATTGTATTATTTTGATTTCGCTGCTTCTGCCGAAATTTTTACAGTGCTGTCTGATGCGGCTGCCTCTCTGTATCATAACACAGCATGGCCCAACTTGTATATTTTAAACACTGTTTGTTATGGGACCTAACAATACAAATGTTGTGTTGTATCAGTTATATTTAGGTTACTTTAATATAAAAAATGTTATGTTATAAAGATTAGAGCATCGCAAAATGCACAACAGACACTGTCAGGTGCCGTTATGTACCTGGGGCTGTTTTCAGAAGTATGTGTCAATAAAACAGCATGTAATATGACTGTGATAGTGAAATGGCCTTGGATGTTATATGACTAGTGAAATGGCCTTGGATGTTATGTGACTAGTGAAACGGCCTTGGATGTTATGTGACTAGTGAAACGGCCTTGGATGTTATGTGACTAGTGAAACGGCCTTGGATGTTATATGACTAGTGAAACGGCCTTGGATGTTTTATGACTAGTGAAATGGCCTTGGATGTTATGTGACTAGTGAAACGGCCTTGGATGTTATGTGACTAGTGAAACGGCCTTGGATGTTATGTGAATAGTGAAACGGCCTTGGATGTTATGTGACTAGTGAAACGGCCTTGGATGTTTTGTGACTAGTGAAATGGCTTTGAATGTTATGTGACTAGTGAAACGGCCTTGGATGTTATGTGAATAGTGAAACGGCCTTGGATGTTATGTGACTAGTGAAACAGCCTTGGATATTATGTGACCAGTGAAACGGCCTTGGATGTTATGTGACTAGTGAAACGGCCTGGATGTTATGTGACTAGTGAAACGGCCTTGGATGTTATGTGACTGTGATAGTAAAACCGCATTGTATCTAATGTCACTCGGATAGATGCTAATGATAGCATTTTCAGCAACACATATTTACGGCCGTGCACTAACAGTAGCTCTTGATGGGTGTCGAAATTATTGCAGGATTGTAACTCGCCCTTGCCAACTACTTTCTAAACTACATTTGAGTTTTTTGTAGTCTTTATCATCTCCCTTGTCTGCACAGGACTAAGGTGTACACTGGGGTAGTATTTTGTACAGCTGTTAAAGATACCATTATTAACACTTTTTCAAAGGCAGAAATTGGTATATGGAATTTTCCCTGTTGGTTTGATAACCAGCATAAGACTTTTGAAGTTTCAACCCTACAGAAGGAGAAAAGACAGGGAAACATCTGCTGTGTGGCTAATATAATTTAAACAAATTGTATGAATTTCAGCTAAACAGAATTGTGCAATATAATTTCTGTATTTATCATACATTAAAATGTTCATTTAATGTGCAAAAGATCACAGAACAGTGAAGATTGTTTGTATTCATTAAGAGTTTAAATTTCAATATTGTATTTCCTTAAACTGGTAATTATCACTTGGTTCCATTGATTCTTCATAGCACCGGCTCAGGTGACCCAGCCTAAATTCTCCAGCACTACCTCTGCCTTTTCTACCTCTGAACTCTATTCAGGATCTTTTTCCGTGCCTCTTGCCTCAACTCGTGCCCTTTGGAACATGTAAGTTATGTTTTTTTCCTTTTGTGCAAAGGTCGTGCTGGTCACCCCCTGCCTCGTTTTTCCAGAATCGTCCCCTCCATCGCCATTTTCTCCAAACCATTTTGACGTTTAAAATTAAATAATTCAGTGTCAGAGAAATAAAAAAAAATGCAGTCTATAAGCCAGTCTCAATGTCCAGTCCTAAAGAAAGTATTATTCCCCCTCCTGGTTCTTGATATACTGAGAATTTCTCTGTAGCATTTAGGTTAAAAATCTCTCTCTCTCTCTCTCTCTCTCTCTCTCTCTCTCTCTCTCTCTCTCTCTCTCTCTCTCTCTCTCTCTCTCTCTCTCTCTCTCTCTCTCTCTCTCTCTTGTGCACTGTGCCTATTTACGAGCATGAAACAAAGATGGTGGAAATCCTTGCAGAACTGAACTGTGGCAATAGTACATTGGTAGCTGGTCTGGAGAAGAGTCCCCACATCAGCTTTTTAATCCTGTCGATGCAAGTTCGGTAAAGAACATAGAGGGCAACTGGTAATGTTGTAACAGAATATCTTTGTATACAGCTAAGCTCAGTATCTGGGTCCTGTTGTTAGGTTCACATCCGAAAAATGGACACTGAGTGTTATTGTTTTAGGCTGAGGGCTGAGATTTTAGGAACAAAATAAAATAAACAAATGCATATGAAATATATTAACAGACATGTTGTTTACACACACAGGGTTTTAGGAGTGGAGGGACTGCGTGTGGCTGATGCCTCCATCATGCCATGGATTACTTCGGGAAACACAAACGCCCCAAGTATTATGGTTGGAGAAAAGGCCTCAGATTTGATCAGAGGACTGACACCGCTGAAACCAGTCGACTTGTGAATACGACCAGTTATTTCTCAAGAGTCATTGTCTACGTGTGAATGTAGAGTAGGGATTGTAGAGACAGTGGGATGGAAAGGGGGGCACGGACAGAAAACCTGACAGAGAGACGGACGGACAGACATGATTGTAAAACTAGGCAAATAAATACATACAGAGACTATCTGACAAATGATGTAGGATCAGACATTCATATAGACAAACAATAAATGAGTCAATAAGAAAGATAAATGGTGTATTTGGTATTGACATTTATGTGTTATATCTGCATATAACAGTCATTCGAAGGCTGAGTGCACAAATAAACTAATTATTTCTTTAGCGCATATTACATCATTTTTCAGACATAAATCCCTATTGCCTTCTAGAAAATTATGTTACAAATTGTGTGATGTGACCTCACTTGCGCTAACATAATGTATTACCCTTGTTGAAGAATTCATTACTGTCCTGTGATTTAAAACAGTAGGTGTGATTATTAGAATAGGATGAAAATACCTTTGCCAGTTAAAACAATAAGTCAGACTTCCTGTGTGGGTTCCGGGGCCCTGCTATAGGGAAAACAAGAATAGACCGCCTGAGTACCCAAAAGCATGTCGTAAGAGCCGATTATTTGGCAGCTTCCTTCAAAGTTGAAGTTCATCTGCCTGAGACCCCCTCCCCCCTAAAAAAAATAGCAGTCTGCACACAGATCTGTAAAAAGGATGCAAACGCAACACACAGGTTCTGGAACATGACTGCAGTCAGAAGTAGATGAAAAACCAGAACTTTCTGCCAGAGTTTACAAAAGGTGAACACGAAGAAGAAGAAGAAAAACTCAGACGAAACTTGATGTCATCATGGGCGTTCTCTATTTTTTTGAATGCCTACACAGCAGGTGTAGATTAACACATGATCTCTAATCATTGCTGTAACTACCTGGCGATTAACCACCCGCACAACTAGCGATAAACACCTGGTGACATAAAGTGCCACCAATCGAATGAGCACATATCTCAGATACCCCGTTCAACCATTAAAAAGAGACACGTACTGACGCACTAGACTTAGAGGATGCATATAGTGCAGTACTATTTGACTCATTATGTAGATCAATTGAAAACACACTACCGTCTCAATCACCAACTCCTTCTTCATCCTTTATTCTTCTCTGGCATGTGAGTTCACCCCCACCCCCTTTCCACCATCATACTCATACCTCCCCAACCCCCTCCACAGTCATCAGTCTTTGCCAGGCACTAGAGTTCAAATCCTTACACCCCCCCCCCTCCCCCATTTCTCTTTTTATCCCTTTCAACAATCGTCACTACGCACATGAGTTTGAACGAAGGAACAAACCAACGAATAAACTTTTTTTAAGCTTAAAAATTAGGCACATAGGCCCGTCTTACATTCTGCTTTTCTGGCCTCACTCCATACATCCAGTATATCATTCAAACATCGTTTTAGCAGATGATAATAACAGTGGACATCATCAACAACATCTTAATAACAATGTGCTCTGAGTATACCACGATTATAAAACACTTATAATACTAAGTATAACAAATAATTTGGTGGAAATCAACAATATTTTAAAGACACTATTATCCTCTAACAAGGCATGTAGTCTATAGTGAGGTAGTGTTCAAAACGCTTCCAACTGTATTTAAAGGGTTTGTTGATATTTTTAATTGGCTGTAGAAGTTGGTTATACAGATTAGCTGCAGAGTACGCCAAGCTTGTTTTGTCCGTCTGTTATAGGTTTAGGGAATATGTTTAGACGTTTGCTATGTCGCCCATTGTACTTAATGAATGGCCAAAGGAAATCTGAAGCATTTTTTATAAGATTTTTTATGAATAGCTTTGGCCTTATTGAAAAGTAGTCATTTGTGTAGAGGTAATAACTTGAGATATTTATGTATAATGGAACTGTCGCTTCCATGATTATTACTGATGCAATAAAGAAGACCTACAAAGGTTTAAAGACGATGTCGGAAGAGCATTATCATAAACCAGATTACACGAAATTATAATAATAATTGGAGATTTCAACGCAAAGGTATCAAAAGAAAGAACGGAAGACGTAGTTGGTGATTATGGTTTAGGTACGAGAAATGTCAAGACGAGAAATACTAACAGAATTTGCAAACGCAAATGATACGATGATTGGAAACAGCTGGTTTAAACAGTGGGATAAACGACTTTACACATGGAAAATCCCTGATAGGAAAACTTTCGACCAAATTGGCTTTATAATGGTTTTAAAAAAAGAGTTAGAAATGCATTAATAAATGTGAAGAAAATGCCTGGTGCTGACTGTGATAGTGATCACATCCCACTTTGTGGACAAGTAAAAGTCAGATTGAAGAGAGGAAAGAACAAGATTAACAAAAATGAAACCCAATACAGATATAAAGAAAGTCGAGTACAATTTAGAGTGATTGTGAAAAACAGATTCAATGAAAAAACTAAAAGTGTAAACGAGCAATGGGAAATGCTAAAATACTCTATTCAGCAAACAAGCTTTTACCGGAAATAAAACAAAAAATTAAGAAGAAATGGATGACTGGAGAAATCTTGAAGTTGATGGACATGCTTAAACAAAATAAAATAAACAGAAGAATATGACAAGATACACAAAGAAATCAGAGCTTAATGTGTAAGAGCCAAAGAAAATTGGTCAAAAAGAACTACAGATTTGATAGCAGAAAGTAACCGAGAAGGTCCACCCATACGTACTAAAAGAAGTCTCTGATGCCGTCAAACATATGAAGAAAGGAAAAATAGCTTGACCAGATGCAATTACAATGGAGGAATTAGAAGTACTAGGAGAATTTGGAGTCGACATATTAAATAAACTATTAAATGCTATTTACAGCAGTGGAGGTATACCTAATGATATGTGAAGTCTGTATTAAATGCACTACCTAAAAGACCTGGGACAGTTGCATGTGATGAATTTCGCAAAATTAACCTCATAAACCATGTCACCAAACCGTAACTCAGAATTATAATGGGAAGAACAAGAAAGAAAATAAAAATGGAAATTAGTGAACATCAGTATGGTTTTGTAGAAGGGAAAGGTACACATAATGCAATGTACACATGCAAATATTAGTAGATAGATCAAGGGAGAAACAGAAAGACAAATATTTGCGCTTCATAGATTACATCCCAAACTATTACATGCGGTTGAACAGAGTTTCTAGGGCGTGTATCTGTTTTATTCTCATCCTAAGGGTAATAACATTGCCGGCTGCAATCCTGGAGAGGAGCAATGACTTACCTAACTGGTATGAAGGCGTCATTCTGCACTTCGCAAAGATTCAGTTGTAGCCTGTCTGCTACTAAACCTCTTCATATGATTAGGCAGAAATTCGTGGCTGCCCACGGGGACTTTTCTGCAGCTCAGTGGTTGAGAACCACTCTCTTAGTGTGCCTTAGTACCTCTTTATCTTCTAGTTTTTACATCTGTGAGTACTGATCAATTTTTGTCACGCTCTTTCACTGGCCTCAGCGGTCACCAGGCAATTAATATGCATAGGTTCATCAGCTGATGCAGTTTCTCCATCAGCTTTTTTCTCACTGAACTAACAGTCGCATAGTGGTTACTGGGCTTGTCTGTCAGGGCAGTGTTTTTTTTTTTTTCCTGATCTGTGACCTTACAAATGATGAGAATACCCTGTCCCGATAAAAAGAGTATTGCAGACGTCTTGAAAGAAACTGACCTAGGATGAGAACTGATTGCCCACATCAGAAAGAGACAATCTACATTATGTGGTATGTGATGAGAAGAAAACTGGAGTAGATTGTGACGGTAGGAAATTGAAGGGGAGGAGAGACAGAGGGAGACCGAAAGAATAAATGTTTTACAGTTTGAGATTATGACACGGAAGATCATCTGTGTCAGAGTTATTGAAAGTACACCAGACAGAAGGTTGTGGATAGACATGACTACCAATGCCACACAGCACTGACTCTAAAAAGAACCTAATAAACATGAGTATCCGAAAATCTCCACAATTTTCTATGAAATACAGGCGATGAAGAAAGGAATTGACTAGATAACCTCATATATAGTTGTCTAGAATCATTAGAGGCCCCACCCTTCACAAACCAACGGCAGTGTTTGCTATAGGACTAAATTACCATTCCATTACCTCTCATAAAGTTGGCCAGATCTGGCTAAATAAGCAGACCGCACTTCTTTTTTACGCCATACACTGTTTCTGAAAAAATCTTATCTGCCAGGAGTGGCAACTTGTTTCAGCATGTCGAGCAATTCAGCAATCACCGAGTCAAACACCAAGTCAAGTGTGCGTGCCTCTGTTACTTAACCGGACTGATAGTTTGTAGTTCACTACTTCACAACAAAACTAGGGGAACTGTATATGTTTCAATACAATCACTAAACATAAGTTTGCAACCATAGACCCCGAAACTCAGTGGCTTGAGCTCCCTCCCCACTCCCAAACCAATATAAAAATTGGCAAGGGTACAGTGATTCTTATTTATCCATGCATAGAAATTATCCTTTGAAAACACATGTTATAGATTAGTATATTACGTCACAAAAAAACTTCAAGTTTTAACATATGGCTATGAATCCTGGACAATCGGTAGGCTGGCTAAACAATTTTTAAGGCCTCAGAGATGCGGTTTCGCAGAAGAATGCTTAAAATACCTTGGACAGCCAAAAGGAGCAACCAAGAGGTTTTGAGCGAGGCGGGAGCCCAAAAACAACATCACATATATCAGAAAGAGACACGTCATCATTTTTTGGCCATGTTACGAGAAACGGGAAAATGGAACATGTTGTGACCACTGGAAAGATCTGTGGAAGGAGGGAAAGAGGAAGGCAACGAGAAAAGATTCTTGACAGTCTTGTTGCATGGCATGGAGGTGTGTCAGCACACGAACTAATACATGCTGCAGGAGACCGTAGATTGTGGAGGGGCATGATCGTCCATGCCAGTCGGCAAGGCACGTGTTGATGATGATGATGATTACGTCAACAA